CCATCCATCCATCCATCTACCCATCACCATCCATCCATCATCCATCCACCCATCCAATCCCAACCATCCACCCACCCACCATCCAATCATCCACCCACACACTCATCCAATCATCCACCCTTCCATACAAACATCCCTCCATCCCTCTGACCTTGCATGCCCCCACGCCCACCACCAAATCAAGGGCCAGATGCTCTTCCCATATCCCTCAAGGTCAAACGACCTGCCAGGGCTCCTGACTTGCTCCAAACCCAGCACCCGCAGAGGACACAGACAGGGCCGAGAGATGCCCTCACCTGTGATGGCATCAGTGGAGATAAGACCAACCCGTTCCAGTCACCCGTCACCTCTCCGTGACCCTTCTCCCTCACATCAGTCCATGGATCCATGAACCCAACTATCCATGCAACCATCCATCCGTTCATTCATTAAACAGTCCGATTATTCATCCAACCACCCATGCTTCCACCTGTCCATGCTTCCAGCCATTCATCTATCCAGCCATCAATCAGTCCACCCAACCATTTTTCCAGCCACCCATCCATCATCCATCCATCCAATCCCAACCACCCATCCATCATCCACCCATTCAATCCCAACCATCCATCCATCCATCTACCCATCACCATCCATCCATCATCCATCCACCCATCCAATCCCAACCATCCACCCACCCACCATCCAATCATCCACCCACACACTCATCCAATCATCCACCCTTCCATACAAACATCCCTCCATCCCTCTGACCTTGCATGCCCCCACGCCCACCACCAAATCAAGGGCCAGATGCTCTTCCCATATCCCTCAAGGTCAAACGACCTGCCAGGGCTCCTGACTTGCTTCAAACCCAACCCCCGCAGAGGACACAGACAGGGCCGAGAGATGCCCTCACCTGTGATGGCATCAGTGGAGATAAGACCAACCCGTTTCCGACCCCACACCCCGTACAGGTTGAACTTGTAGCGCCGGGATGGCGACAGCCCAGGCACGGTCACCATGCGGGACCCGCCATCAACTGCAAGTGCCTGAGGTTGGCCTTGCGCATCCCTGTACTGCACCGTGAAGGAGTCAAAGGTGCCCTCGAGGACACTCCACTCCAGCTGGACGGAGCCAGGGGTGACATGGGAGACCGTGAGCCCGCCCAGGTGGGGCCGGGGTGGTGGTTCCTCTGACGGTGGGGCCGGCACTGCAATGGACATGGCACAAAGCAGAACATGAAGATACACCCACCCATGCATCCTTCTGCTGAACCATCTGTCCAGCCACCTACCTGTCTAATCATGCACCCATCAGTCCAAGCACCCAACCATCCACCCATCCTCCCGTTGATCCAACTGGGTGTCCACCCATCCATCCAATCGTCCATTCATTCTGTTCTTTGTCTGTTGTTCCATCCATCAGTCCAGTTATCTGTCTGTCCACTCATTTCTCCATTCAAGAATCCAGGCTTCCATCCATTCAATGACCGGTTTTTCCATTTACTTTTCCTTACATCAGCCTTTGAATCCACCTATCCACCCTCCCACCCATCCATCCAACCTTCCATCCGTCCTTCCACCCATCCATCCACCACCCATCCACACACCTGTCTACCTAACCTTCCATCCATCAAACCATTGTCCATCCATCCTCCCATCCATCCACACATCCATTCAACCATCCATCTTTCCACCCATCCAATTATCCATCCATCCACCCACCTAGCTATCCAACCATGAGCCACCCATCCATCCAACCATCCATCCAACCA